CTGGGGAGAGATAGCAAGGGGAGAAAAGCCAGATGTAGGTGATGGGGAGGAAGGCAGCAAATCACATTGTCATGTGTGTACCTATGCAACTATCTTGCATGTTCTTCAAATGTACCCCAAAACCTAAAATGCAATAAAAATAAAAAATAATAGGAATCCTTTGCCTTTTAGAAACCTCTTAACTAGTACACTCTGATATGATGTTTAATCCTGTTATGAATGCAGCGAAGTGGTTTTTATGCTTTCAAAAAGGGTGATTTACAGAGCAATTTACTTTTGCCAAAATGTTTATTTTTATTTGAAATGTATAGACTCTTTTATTATGAAATATAACACAGAAAAGAGCATAAAACAAATGTATAGCCTTACGAATTATAGTAATTAATAATCATCACCTAGGCTGAAAAACTCAATGAACATTGTCAGTGTTCCAGTAGCTCTCTGCTTGTTCCTTTTCTTTTAACATTATAATATGTAAGTATGCCAACAAGAACACTATAATTTTGTTTCTTTTTGAAGTTTAAATAAATAGAATCACACATTCGAAAAAAGAAAAAGAAAAAGAGTTTAGGCATAAATAAACACTATTGTAAATGAAAAAAGTAGACATGAATAATGAATAAGACAAAACAAATATAAAAAAGATTATTTAAAAAATACCATCAACCATTATGTGCCAAAAAATTGAAAAGCTAGGAGAAATGTAATGTATAAAGAAAACATAATTTACAAAAAATAATGCAGAAGAGTTCTGTAAGTTGTGAAGAAATTCAAGTAGTGGTTAAAATTTTTCCTATGAAGAAAACATTAGTCCCAGATAATTTTATATGCATATTCTACCAAATTGAAGGAACAGATCATCCCAATCCTATTTAAACTCTTCTCAAAAAAGAAAAAGGAAGGAATATTCTCCAGTTCATTTCAGGAGACCTGCATAATTATAACACCAACCCCATATATAGTCAAACTAAGAAAGAAAAACAAGAAGGCCATTTCACTCATGAATGTAGAAGCAAAAGCCTAATCAACATATGAGTGAATCAAATCCAACAAGGTATTAAAAATAAGCTGTATGCTTTAACCAAGGCAGTTTCATCTCAGGTATGGATAGATTAATATTTGTAAACAATTACAAATGTTACTATAATGATTTTAAAAATAACATGTATAAAAATTATGCAGTAGATATAAACATTTGATAAAATTCAGCATAAACACGATTAACTGCTTTAGTAAATTAAGAATAGAAGGGAACTTCCATAACCTAATAAAAAGAATCTATTAAAAAATCTTAATAGAAAGTAAGAGAATGATAAACACAGCATTTAGGATGGGTAAAAGGAGATGGGGGCATGGGGATGAGGTAGGAAAGAACCACCTCGATATATATGTAAATTACTGTCAAGGATCTGTTTTAAGAATGGGTTCCCATCAATTTTTATAAACTACTAAAATCAACTGAACAAACAAACATGCATGGACCGGTGATGAGAGTGTATCATAAACCAGTGGGCCTTAAGGTGTGGTTCCTGGACTAGCAACAGCAGCATCACTGTGAAACATCTTAAAAAACACAAATGCTCCAGCCCCACTTCAGACCCACTGAATCAGAAACTTTAGGGATGGGGTCCAGCTGCATGTGTTTTAACAAGTACTCCATAAGATTCTGATGCACAGGGAAGATTGAGGACCACCATCATAAACCATAGATTCTGTACACCTATAGTCCAGCAAAAGGTAAACGCCGGCTGATAGATGACGTGCTGTGGGTCTTGGGAAAGACCATCACACATTTTCCTTTAGAGTTTTAACTTGATGAGAAAGGAGTTGAACATGACCCTCTCTTCTTATGTCCAAATCACATGAACACAAAAGGGAGAAAATCGGGCCTATTACAACTATTAACATCGATAACAATTCCGAATACTAGAAGCTTGCCGTACCTTAGTATAGTGTCAAATTTTATACAGAGATCCAATTGAAAACACTTTCAGAAAGTAATATGATGTCTGCAAATGGGGAAAATAATCTCCAGGAAGTTTCCTGAAGTGTGAAATGAGGGGAAATACACATTGGTTCAGCACAGCATGGGCAACCTCAGAAAAGTGCAGAGCAGAGAATGTAGCTTTGTTTGACCCACTGGACACTGCTGCAATTTTTGAAGTGTAGCATTTATCTGCAAAAGCCACATTGGAAGTCATTGTCTCCAGATAATGATTATACCTTATGAATCTCTGCCAACTCATAGTCCAACCTTGCTGCTCTCTTCAGAAAACCGGCTTTGGTGGTAATGATTTTAGGTTTTGGAGCTCTGATTCGGGGTTGTGTCACAAAATCTGGGAGACATGACTCAAGTTCGACTAATCCTATGGGAAGGAAGTACATGTTTTTAGTATCCAATGCTTACGTTTATTATTTTTAAAGTATATTGCTAACTTTTGTAGCTGTTTGCCAAGCAGTTTCATTAGAATTGTTGAGAGGGTGTATCTCATATAACAGAATGAAGTGTCCTTGAAATGTGATAGCACATTTCTGTATAATTAACTCATGTTCTCAGTGACTTAGACTGTACAATGAGAAATGCATTCTAAAACGAAAACATCACCCTACGAAAAAGTGGCAATTCCACAATAATAATCAACAAAAACTTAATGATTCTATGATATCTGGTCCAACCCTTCTAAAGTAGATGTTCACCAATTTATTACATTCTGCTCTGGAGATGGCCAGCCACAGCTACAAGTTCAGCAGTGTAACCAGCAACTCATGATCTTGGCCATGTGATACTTCAACTTGCCAAGTGAAATTAGATAACTAAATAAGCCTCTTTTGAATTTTGTAAGAGGTATACCCCTTTCCATGAATTTATTCCCTGATTCTCCATCCTCTTGCCCACTATTTTTTGACATTTCTTTGTAAATGATTGATTTCATTAAACATATTTCCTTTTTGCTTCATAAACCTAATATAAAACTTTTCTCTATTTCATTGTTAAATAACTTTATTAGTGACATTAAACATTTTTAACATTTAGTAGCTAACTGAATTTACTCCTTGCTGAACTGTTCTGTAGCGTATTCATTTATTTGTGTCTTAGTAGTTTTTACTTGTTTGTATGAACTCACATTAATAATGTTAAACCTGTTCATCACTATTTATTGCAAGTGTTTTTTCTGCTTAGTTTTTAATCTAAATTTCTACATTTTATATATTTGATCATATTTCTGAGATAACCTTCTTATATTGGATTTCTAATTATGTAAGTTGCTTACCTTCATAGGTGTTGAGATAGTAATTTTTTACTACAAAGTCCTCTGAGTTGTTGTCTGGGAAACACCCAAGACGAGACAGAGGTCCATAGACCTGTGATGCATAATCAGAATAGTCCTTGATGATATTTCTTCTCTCCAGCTTCCCTTCTATATTCTTTCCCTTTCCTACAAGTTTTCTGATTGCTGAAATAAAACATACCTCCATGACTATCTCCAAAATATTGTTCTGAATTAAACAAATGCAGAAGAGTAAACTGATTCTAGTGTTATTCAGAGAAGCTATTGAAATGAATGAATTTCATGATGACTCATGACAGCCAGAATGTAACACTAAAAACAGAGGTCTGCCATCTGTGTGGCCCAGATTGTCATGAGACAGGCAGGAATGACAGAAGCAGAATCAGCTAGTGTCCTCAATCGGTACTCCTCAGAAATCTTTTATAACTGCATTTCAAGCTCCAGGCCAAGAAGAGGTATTCAGTAAAAGTTTGTTAAATGAGTAAAACTCAAAGCATCTGGAAAATACATGTTCAGTGGAGAACTAGGGAATTATTCTCCCCTACAATAATCAAAAGCAAAGACTACAGGTTCATCTTGGTTAACACCAAAATAAACCAGAGAATGTCCCAGCTTATAGCTTTCTGAATTGTTTGGCAGTCAGAGAGAAAAGGCTTCACTGTGCACAATAGGAGTATACTCATCTGAAGAGTGATGCTCCCTGCCTCCCATGCTCCTTTTCTTTCAAATCCCATCACAGACACAAGCCCTTTTGGCGGCTTTACACTGTAAACTTTCAATGGGGTATAAATCTTATCACAAGATCATGATGTCATGCTGCAAGAGGGGCCTGTGTACCACTGCTGTCTTGGGGATGTAGCTTGGGGATGTTTGATTCGCAGCACTTCTGGGTGTGACTTCGGTTTTAGAATTAGGTAAAAATGATTTAAATTTTATTATTCACCTATAAAAATTAGTTAGATCTATCATGAGTTATTCCAAGTACTGAAAAAAAAATGTTGAGCATATCTAAATAAATACCTAGCAGTTAAATGCTCTTTTCTCACATCAAGAAAAAGTTAAAATTTAAGTTCAGCCGGGCATGGCGGCTCACACCTGTAATCCCAGCACTTTGGGAGGCTGAGGTGGGTGGATCACGAGGTCAAGAGATCGAGACCATCCTGGCCAACGTGGTGAAACGCTGTCTCTACTAAAAATACAAAAATTAGCCAGGCGTTGTGGCACGCGCCTGTGGTCACGGCTGCTTGGGAGGCTGAGGTGAAGAATCGCTTGAACCCAGGAGGCAGAGGTTGCAGTGAGCCGAGATTACACCACTGTGCTCCAGCCTGGCGACAGAGCGAGACTGTCTAAAAAAATATAATAATAATTTAAAAAATTAAGTTCACTAAACATAATTTTAAGCAATAATTTATTTTTGTGATTATTTTATTTTTGTTGGAAAAATAAGTTTTGAATGATTTTTTAAAATGTGATTACATTGTGAATGAGTACATATATAAATAGTCTGCACATGTAATTGAAACAATTTATTTATTTCAAGACAAGGTCTCTGTCACCCAGGCTGGAGTGCAGTGATGCAATCATATTTCATTGTAGCCTTGAGCTCCTGGACTCAAGCAATCCTCCCACCTCAGCCTCCAAGTAGCTACAACTACAGATGTGTACATCTGGCTATGTTGAAAAAAAGTTTCTAGAGATGGGGTCTCACTATGTTGCTCAGACTGGATTTGAACTTCTAGCTAATTTAAGCAATCCTCCCACTTCAGCCTCCCAAAGTGCTGGGATTACAGGCATGAGGTACCTCTCTTGACCTTAAATTTTTAAAGTAGAAATTTAACTTGAATCTTTAATTCAGTCATTCTTAATAAAAATAATAAACGATATACTTAACTCTTTCCATGTATAAAGTACAGATATACATATAGTTCATAAACATATATATCTGTGGTATTAAAACTTCTTGTAGATGGGTGATTAGAAAAAGGGATGTCTGAAATGTCTCCTTTAAGAGCAATAATGAAGAAAGGGTAAGAAACCGAGGTCTTTATCCAGGGTGGTGGACCATGAATATGGGGAACCCAACACCTATCCCACCACACACGCATACAGACACACACACACATCCATTATCTCAATAACTTGACTACCTGTTAGGACACCGTCACTTGATTTGCTTAGTGAGGGATTTTCCTCCACTCTTCTACCTTTAAGAAATAACTCATCTCTCAGCCCTTACCTATGCGATTCCCAGGACCATAACAGAATTATAACATAGTTAAGTCAGGTTTGGTCAAAGATCCAAAGCAAAGCCCACTTTTCCACTGACTTCGTTGTTCATACTACACCATTACTTGATATATGTGTGCGCTGAATTTTTGCCATTTTTGCCTCTTTTGCCTCCTGCAGTTTTGACCACCGGGCGTTCAAGTGCTTCATATTCACTTCATTCTGATTCTCGTCACGCTTCCTCAACAGCTCTTTTAGAACTTCCAGACGAATCTCCTGCAGTCTTCAAGTAAATTACAAAACATAAAGAAGCATATGGCATCTCAGAGGGCAAGGAAATGGCTGCCACAGACAGGCTCTTCTCTGTGGGCTGGTATCATGTTCATGTATTGTCAAAAGACCACTCTGGCAAAAGCATGACAGATGAAGTGGGGGCGTGGGGGAGACAACTCAATAGAGACTCACTATATAATAGGAATATACATGGGTGTCGTTCTCAAGGATGAAGAAGAGTATGCCAGGCAGATGGGGTAAAAGAAGGGCTCTCTAGACAGATGGGCCTAAAGGAACAGCAAGAGGTTTGTGCACAGTGCCAGGTCGAGTGGTATTCCTGGAAGGTTACGTAATAGGAGGAGTGAGGAGGAAATGCGGTTCTGGCATGCTATCCTAAGGAGTGAGGTGAAAATGCAGTGCCTGGCATATAATAGGTACTCAACAAATTTTTGTTTCCTTTCCCCTTATCTTCAACTTGTTCTCCTTGGGCTACCTTGCTCATGTGCATCCAACAATGCAATGCAGATGACTTTGCAATCTGTACCTCCAGCTTAGATCTTTCTTTCTTTTTCTTTCTTTTTTTCTCTTTCTCCCTCCCTCCCTTCTTCCTTCTTTCCCTCCTTCTCTTTCTTTCTTTTTTCTCTTTCTCCCTCCCTCCCTCCCTTCCTTCCCTTCCCTTTTTTCCCTCCCTCCCTCCCTCCTTCCTTATTTCCTTCCTCTCTCTCTTTCTCTCTTTCTTTTGAGACAGAGTCTTGCTCTGTTGCTCAGGCTGGAGTGCAGTGGCCTGATCTCAGGTCACTGCAGCCTCCACCTCCTGGGTTCAAGCGATTTTCGTGCCTCAGCTTTCCAAGTAGCTGGGAACACAGGTGCCTGCCACCATGTCTGGCTAACTTTTGTATTTTTAGTGTAGATGGAGTTTCACCACATTGGCCAGGCTTGTCTTGAACTCCTGGCCTCAAGTGATCCCACCTTGGCTTCCCAAAGTGCTGGGATTACAGGCGTGAACCACTGTGCCCAGCTCAGCTTAGATATTTCTGAACCAGAATTTCCATCTATTTGAATCTCCAACTGTCCCTTGATAATTTAAAAAAAAAAAAAAAACAGAAACCTTACTCACTTGTTCCCCCAGACGTCTGCCCCTCTTACACCTTCTTTCCACTGCTAAGGATTGCTCCTCAGAAATACTTCTTTTATTCCCTAGCTCATGTTTTCATCATCTCACTCCTAACATGGACTCCTTGCTGCTAGTCTCTCCTCTTTCCAATCTTTTTTCTACCCAGCTGTCAAGGTTTTCCTTCCTAAAACAGAGATTTTAATATACATTTTACTCCTACTTAGAAATTCATACCTGAATTTATTCACTTACTCATTTGTCAAATATTAAGTGCCCACCATATGCCAGGCAGGAACAATGATGTACAAGATAAAACGCCTTTTCTCAAGAAGCAGCGTTCTGGTGAATGGGCATGTGAACCGACACCTCCAGCACAAGGAGATACATACCAGGCTAGAAGAGTGAAAAGTCTTTGTGGGAGAAGAAAGAATAGGGCAGGGAGAAAAGAGGGAGAAGGTGGGAAAAGCCTTCCTTAGAGGAGCTGTTAACTCAGGATTGAGATTTGCCAGATTGACAAGGGAAAAGCAGGGCCTCAGCAGAGACTGGAGGGAGAGCAAGATATCACACTGGCAGCATTTCTCGGAGTGAATGTGCTTGAGGGGCGAGAGTGTAGTGACAAATGAGCATGGAGAAATAGGCATTTTAAAAACTAAGCCACACACCCCCAGCCACCTTTCTCTCTAGAGTTAGAAATGCTAGGTTTAATTTTCCATGTCACCACTGACTTTAATCTCTTCAATGATAAAGTGGAGATAATAATAGTACCCTCTTCATGAGGTTGTTGTGAGCATTAAGTGAGTTAATGCATATACAGTGCTCGAACAGTAGTCTCAAATTTAAGAGTGTAAGCAGCACAATCGGAGGGCAGTTTCTGACACAGATTGCTGACAATCTCTGATTCATAGGTCCTGAGACGGGGCCTGATCATCTGCATTTCTATCAAGTTCCAAGGTAATGTTGGTGCTGCTAGTCTGTGGACCACACTTTGAGAACTGTATGCTTAGAACATCATCTGGCATATAGTAAGCCCTCTATAAATGTTCCATGCTCTATAGATGTCTTCTTCTTCATCTGATGTCATTGGTAGAACTCCTTTTAGCCACCAATCATCATCATCATCATATTATTGACAGAGCTTATAGTTCACTCATCATCTGATATTGACAGAGCTCCTTATAGTCCACTAATCATCATCATCAACACATCATCATCATCAATCTGATGTTATTGACAGAGCTCCTTAGAGTTCACTGGGGCAGGAAGGGGCAGGGAGATGGGCAAAGAGATAGTGCCAAAGATCTCAGACCAACAGCCCTCAGGCATTGTTCTACCTGATAGCTTCTGATATTATTGTCTGATATCACTATCTGCCTGATGGCTTCTCAGTCACCCTTCAAAGTCCAGCTCAGAAGATACCTCCTCTCAGCAGTTTTCTTTCTCAAATCGCCCACCTTAAATAGAACTAACTGTTCTCTCACCTAGATTCCCCGAGCACTTCAGGTACAGAATAGCACATCACCTGATAGGCACAGCCTGAGAGCGGTTGGTGTAAGATCTTTTGTCCCATCTTTGCTCACCTTCCCTGCCCTCCTGCCCCAGTGGACCATAAGGACCTCTGTCAGGAAGAGCAGTTTCCTATGCATCCCTATTTTCTTAACTCGTAGCACAAGGCCTAGCATGTAGAAGGGACTCAAAATACATGTATGAAAATTGCCCTCAGTTTAACAAATGTACTCACTTTCTCAGGTGACATCTTCACTCTGGCCCTCTGGACATTTTCAATAGTTTCAATACCTTTTGAAAAGACACATATCTTTCCAAAACATAATAATAAATTTAAATTTCTGCCAACAGGATTGGGTATTTGACACCTACTTTGCCCCAAACACTATTTTTTAAATTAAATTGCAAGCTTTTATCAAAACATCACAAAGCCTAGATTCAGACTTAATCTGAAGGTGCTGCAAAACAATTAACATATTCCAAATTTAGCACCAACCTGAGTCTCTAACTCTTTGGGTCCCTCTCTTGTGTGTAAGGGTCTTTGGCAGCATTTCTCTGAGCAATAAAGTGCATCAGCACAGCCTGGCACAAAGGACAGCCTCAGCAAACGCACTTCCTTTGTTCTTGCTAGAGAGTTATAATTTTTTGGTTCTCATCATCTCTTACCATTTCCACATATCAGCAACAACTCCATTACTGGAAATACATCAGTTGAAATGATTGAAAACCCAACCACAAGTACCTCAGCATATTGCTATTTATGTATATTGTTAGAGAAACTCAACTCTTAACGGAATAATTCCATAATTTGTCTTTTAAGTAGGAAATGCCCCCATCAGCTCTAGCCAGAATGCAAGGCATCCTGACTGTGAATCCAGTGTGGGGACCAGGAAGGTAAGAGCTAGGACTAGTGCCAAGGCTGTTTGGGGGGCTATGAAGAAAGCCCAGGCACCGGGATAGTGGCACTGGGAATGAACATGAAGGGACAGTTTGAAAGGTGCTTTGCAGAAATTAGTGGGATTCTGTGACAGTTAAAATAGGTACTGAAGAGCAAAAAGAGGAGAAGAATCAGAGATGCCCTTCAGGAGTTGTTCAAACCTGGGTCCCATGCTGAGCTTCTTCACACACAGAGAGGGCATTCTACATTTTTATGTTATTGGAGAGAAAATTATAGAGAGCTTCTGGACCACATCAGAAGCATGTGACTGCTCCTGAAAGAACTGGAAGCCCAACTTCCTATCTCTATAGGTTGAGGAAGCTTTTCAACCTATTTGGGAGACTGCTTTGCAGATATAAAGCATTAATATTACTCCCACCAGTGCAGGAACAGTTGTCTAGGTGATAGAGAACCTACTTTTCAATCTCCTGCTCTCTGAAGGCCCACTCCTTCCTCTCCATTTCATTCATCATCTTCCTCCTTTTCTCATACTGGAAGGCGTCACTCAGAGGGGGAAGGGTGGCTTCCCAAGCACGCTTCTCACGGGCTCTTTCTATCATCTCCACCTCAGCTTGTCCTGCTGGGAGACCCCGACCTGCAGAATGAAGCAGTACAGCTTAGGAACAAGTGGGCCACCCACACACCCCCCAGTATGTAATTTACTCCCTGTCGGTTATGACAGGATAACATGACGTTAGGGAACACCCTCTAGATGTGCCTCACAGCTTGTGTTATCTGTGCCCCACTGCCTCTTGTTAGTAATTGAGCCAAAAAACATTTTAGTTGCATGTAAGATGCTGGAATGTATTTGAAGAATATTAAGTGACTGCTGAATAATCACACCTTGGAACACTCTGTAATAAACAAATTTATATTCTGAAATACAAGGAAATTTCAAAGTCTTGAGATGGGAAAAATATGGAATAGAAAATTTGTTGGATAAAGGTGAATATATATATTTGAGTCAAAGTCTCACTCTGTTACCCAGGCTGGAGTTCACTGTGGCCTTGACCTCCCAGGCACAAATACCCCACCTCAGCCTCGCAAGTAGCTGGGACTACTGGCATGTGCCACCACACTTGGCTAATTTATTTCTATTCTTTGTAGAGAAAAGGTTTCATCATGTTGCCCAAGCTGGCCTTAAACTCCTGGGTTCAAGCAATCCTCCCACCTTAGCCTCTCAAAGTGTTGGAATTACAGGCATGAGCCACTTGGCCAGATACTTTTTAAAAAAATCATAGAAAATTAAGACACTAATCACTAGCTGAGAATTCACCATATTTGGGTTTTGTCCCCCACAGTGAATGTACAGTTTAGGGCTATCTCTCACCTCCAACTTTAAGCATTCAAAGACACAGTACCCGTAGGTCAGGCAGGAGGGTAGGGCCACTGGATACGTCTCCTGACCAGCTCCGAGAGCCTGGCTGAGACCTAAACCTATGTATGCCTCCCTGGACCAAGTTTTGAGGATGCCAGCACATTTAGGTGCCTAGCACCTCTAAATGTGGCCTTGCAAAAGCAGCTAAAGGAAAGGGAGGCTGGAACAACTTTCCTGTTTGATCACCGAATCACAATAAGCCAACTTTTGTTTTATTTTCATTCAAACACATAATTATACATAAAAATTCAAGGACATAAGTAACAAGTCATATTTTCTACCACATACAGGAGGCCATGCCTAAGATTTTTGTCTTATTTCAGATCTTTTGTAATGTTTATGCTTTTAAAAAGCAAATAAGTAATATATAATTACACTGTCTCTTGTTTTTAAAATTAGGGTATTATAGAGAAGGCTAAAATTCTGTACTCTGCTTCCTCATTCGGATTACCTTCCCAGAGGCAGTCACAATGACCCATTTAGTGAGGAGTAATAATACCAGTTTATCTTTTTACTTTTATAGCTATATAAAGAAGTAAATAAAACTGTATACAAAATGCCGTATGTATGTATCTACATATTATTTTGTGGGTCTTGTGTGGTATTTTCTTTAGTAATTTTAAAAATAACTATGAAAATCATACCATATATATGCAGACTTAACAACAGTACACTTTTTGTCATATATACTTTACATTTTGTGATAAAAGAAATTAAAACATTATAATTAAAGCCGATGTTCCTTTTAACTACCACATCGAGCCCTATTCCCTTCTCCCATTTTCCAAAGTAAACAGAAAAATAAATTGTGGTTTTTCATTCAATCTTGACATTTTATATACAAATTTATGTGTCTATGAATTATAATAATAATAAAACCTAACATTACTTAAACACTTTTATTATGCCAAGAACTTTTCTAATCCATTTAATCCTGAACAAATCCCTATCACATAAATACAATTATGCCTGTTTTACAAATGAAGAGACTGAAGGTTAAGTAACTTGCACAAGGCTGCAGGTGTAAATCAGAAGGTGCACATGGCAGTGTGAACATTGCATTTTTGTGCACTATACTATACTTCCTCTCTAGTAAAAACAAATAGGAACCAAAAATGAATTATATAGAACACAGTACTGATGTTTAGTTAACATTTACATACACGGTATTGTACTGTAGGTATTCATTCTGCAACTTGCTTTTTTTTACTCCATTTTGTTTTGGAAGGCTAGCTGTACTGATATATACAGATTTAGTTTCCTTCTTCCACTGTCAGGCTTTATTACAATTTAAGCTATCTTCTCAAATGGCATTTAGATTGCTTTTAATTTTTTGATTGTACATAATATTGCAGCAAACATCCTTGTACTGGTCTCATTGTACCATATGTGAGTTTCTCTAGGATTCTTAGAAGTAGAAATGCTAAAGTCTAGCAGCTACATCATAAAATATGATCATTTTTAATTCTGGATATTGCTTAATTTACCCTCAGAGGTATATTTTTGCTGCTGCCTTCTGAGATCCCCTGATGGTTCCTCTCCCATGGTGCATGCTTCACTTCCTCCCACATTGCATCTGCCCAATCTCAGCTGCTTTTTGCAGTCCTTACAAATATTTAGTAGTTCATGAATTATATATATTTTTAGTTTTACTGAAAATGGAGTTTGTGGGAGTATTGTTGTTCTTGCTTTTGTGTGATTTCTCGGAAGAGAAGACGAAAAGTGCTAATTTACCCAGGCATAGTTATACTGAGAGTGGGGATCTGGATTAGAAATACTTGAAGGTATAAATTACTCGGGGGAGAAGTCTTATCTATTCAAGCATGAGTTTTCCCATTGATAAACATGTTCTGTCTCTCTTTTCATCAAATCTTTTTTTACATGCTTAAAGAATAATTTATGATTTTCACCATAAATCCCTTGCACATGTTTTTATTAAGTGATTTCCTAGGCACTTTGTTATTCATTGCTATAGTGCATGTAATTTTTTTCAGCCAAGTGCCATGGCTCACCTGTAATCCCAGCACTTTTGGAGGCTGAGACAGGAGGATTTCTAAATCCAAGAACCGGAGACCAGCCTGGGCAACATAGTGAAACCCCACCTCCACAAAAAATATATATATATTTTAAAAATTAGCCTGGCATGGTGGTGTGGGCCTGTGGCCTTAGTTACTTGGGAGGGCAGGGTAAGAGGATCACTTAAGCCTTAAGGTTTGAGGCTGCAGTGAGCTATGATCACACCACTGTACTCCAGCCCCAAGAGTAGCTGGGACATACACCACCACGCCCAGCGAATTTCTTTGTATTTTTAGTAGAGACAGGGTTTTACCATGTTGGCCAGGCTGGTCGAAAACTCCCAACCTCAGGTAAATAATTTTTCTTTTCTTTCCTTTTTCTTTCTTCTTCTTTCTTCCTCTTCCTCCTCCTCCAAGAGGGTCTCACTCTGTTGCCCAGGTGGAAGTACCGTGGCATGATCACAGTTCACTTTACATTATAACCTTGAACCCTTGGGCTCCAGCAATCTTCCTGCTTCAGCCTCCTGAGTAGCTAGGACCACAGGTGAGTACCACCACACTCAGCTAATTTTTCTTTTGTAGAGATGGGAGTCTCACAATGTTGTCCAAGCTGACCTCAAACTCCTGGCCTCAATCAATCCTCCTGCCTTGGCCTCCCAAAGTGCTAGGATTACAGGTGTGAGCCACTGCACCTGGCCTCAACAATTTTTAGTTGGATATTGCTCTCATATAGGAAAGCAATTGATCTATGTTGATTTCTTGTTGAACTCTCTTTTTAGTTCTGATAATTTGATTTTCTAAGGGAGCACATGTGTGCAAATAAGGATAGTTTTGCTGCTTCTTTCTAATCATCATGCCTCCATTTTTCTCTTATCTTGCTGCACTGACTCAGTGTTCTTCAACCAGGGTGCTATTGCCGTATTGGGCAGATAACTATTTGTTGTATGAAAATCCCCCATGCAGTACAGGATGTTTAGTATCCACACCAGCCTATCCGCTATACCCTGTCCCATGAGCTAAATGCCAGAAGCACTTCCTAATCATTATTACATAGAAAAAATGCCACCCATACTCCCAAAGGTTCCTGAGAGGAGGGATCATAGCCAAACTTGATAAACTCTGGGCTAGGATCTTCTCTATGTGGTTCAATAGTGGTGATAATGAGCATTATCAATGTCTTTTTTTTTTTTGGGTAAAGCTAAAGTTTCAACTTTAGTATGATGTTTATTACAGACTATGGTATATACTCCTTAAGTCTCTAAAGTTTCCTTCTGCTCCCAGTTTATTCAGAGTATATATCATAAATGAGCATTGCATGTTATAAAATACTTTTTTCTGCATCCAGAGAGGCATTTTTCTTATGTTTTCCATTAAAATGGTAAATTACATAAATAGCTTTCTAATATTGCAACAAACTTGAATTTCTCTGATTAACTCCATTTGGTTATAAGTCACTCTTTTAAAAATGCAGCAAGATTAGATTGCTAGTATCTTATCTGGAATTTTTTGCATATTTCTTCATATATGAGATTGGCCTGTAAGTTTCCTTACTAGTATAGTTGGCCCTTCATATCCATGGGTTCTACCATCTGTAGATTTGACCAATTGCAGGTTGAAAATATTTTTTTAAAAATTGCATCTGTTCTGATCATGTACAGACTTTTCTTTTCTTGTCATTATTCCCTAAACAATACAGTATAATAACTATTTATGTAGAATTTACATTGCATTAGGAATTGTAAGGAATCTAGAGATGGTTTAAATATATGGGAGGATGAGTGTAAGTTATATCCAAATACCACGCCATTTATTAATCTTTATTAGAAAATTACTTATGGCCCTAAGGACTATTTCTTTTGCCTATTTCTTTTGCCTTTTAAAAGATCTATCTTGTCAATTATTTATTTTAACTTTATTATTCCTTTTACATGTGAAGACTGAATATGTTTAAAATGGAAAGCGCTTGGAACAGTTCTTGGCATATCATAAGCACTTAATCTTATCCCCTCAGTACTTAACAGTGTCATCTTTTTCACTGTGTCATTATTTTTCCCTTATTTTTACGTAAACTTTTTATGAATGTATAGCATACATAAACAAAAACAAACATCCCATATAAGCAGCACCCAGATTAAGGAATAGAATATTACCAGAACCCTAGAATGCCCATGATACTCCCCAGTCTCTACCTGCCCAAGGATAGCTACCATCCTCATTCCTAATGCGTTAATTTAGTTTTGATTGGTTTTAAGTTTTATGTAACTGAAATCACAGTTTAGGTGCTCTTCTTTATCTTCTTTTGTTCAGCATTATATATGCGATTATATACACATCTACAATCACCCTTGTAACTACATGTACTTGTACTTCATTCTCATTATATAGCATTCCATTATGTGAATATACTATATTTTATTCATCCATTCTATGGCTGATGGACATTTGAGCTGTTTTCAGTTTGGAATTATTATAAATAATGCTGCTGTGAGTTTTCTTGTACATGTCTTTTTGTGAACACACTTATGCATTTCTGTTAGTAGAATACTGTGCTCTTTTTTTTGGTGTATAGCTAGGTATGAAATTGCTGGATTGTAGGTATGAATACATTACATAAATAAATTTACTTAATGCTTACAATATCCTATGAGATAGATATCCTTCTTATGTATGAAAATGTCTTTATTTCACCTTTGCTCCTCAATAATAGTTTGGCTGGTGAAAGAATTCTAGGTTTGCAATCATTTTCCCATAGAACCTTAAAGGTAATACTACAAAATATCAATCATTTTTTCCTTTGTAGGTAATCTGAGTTACCTTTTTAATATTTTTTTCACTTTTTTTTTCTTTTGTTAGTAGGTATGAAATTTTAAAGGACCATCCTGGTTGGTACTCAGTGGAATTTTTCAGTGTGAAGGCTAATATCTTTCTTTAGTTCTGGAGAGTTCTCAGCCATTATCTTTTCTTGCATTGCTTCTCTACCATTTTCCCTGTACTCATGTCCTAGCCCCAACAGCTCTCCCTTTTCTTTTATCTTGTTCTACCACTATATGTTGCATTCTGGAATATGCGTTAATTTAATCTGCCATTACATTAATTTGCTCTTCAGCTCTGTCTATTTTAATATTGAGTTCATTTTATTTCGAACTTTAGAGGTTTCCTCCCCCTTGACTCCAGGTGGTTCTTTTTCATGACTCCCATTCTTGTTTTGGTCTTGCTATTTCCCCCTTATTCTTCTGAGAATATAGTAATCACTTCCTAAGTCCTTTTCAGATTGCTCAATTTTGTTTACTCAGAAATTGATTCTTCCATTTCCTTTATTTTTTGTGGGTCACTCCTGGTGTTTCTGTTCCTTGGGTGCTTTAGGGTTCACGAGTGGAGATCACCTACAGGTTTCTCTCATAAGGACTCTGGTCAGTAAGCAGCCTTGACCTACAAGAGGGGCTCCTACCTAACCTCATTCTTTAGAGCCCTGCTCATGACCACCGGGTGAGGAGTCCAGGCCCCCATTCCCTCCTGGAGCTATCTCCACGCTTGTACAAATGGCCCTGAGCCTGCTTCCAAAGTCTCCATGGGCCTCTTCACAAGATTCAGATTCCTGAAGGCATAATATATGCTGCTGTTTGTTTACCCTTAAGCCCAAGGTGGGGCCAAATGGCAGCTGTTCGTAAGATGTGTGAAGAGAGTTTGGGAAGAAGAGCTGGGGTAATCACGGGCATGCATGACAGGCCCTCAGATGTAGAGCAGAGCCATGGTGGGGAAAGCAAACAGAAGGCCGCAGTAGGCTCTCGCCTTGCTGCCACATTACAGCATGGAATCCTAGGAGTCTAAGAATTCCAATTTAAACTTGTCCTTTTAACTTGTTATAAAGATGTTTGTGGGGGGAAAAAAAGTATTTTACTTAACAGATATTAGCTTGATTAATAATTTTAAAATATCTATATGCATGGTATGTGGGCCTCCCTTAGAGTCCTGGGCCCCACAGATGGTAGGAGTAGGCCTGGCTCATAGAGGCTTTTATTGACACTTCAACCTCAGTTCTGCTTATGACAGTGTACCAGATTAGGTTTTTTGGCCTAGTGAAGCATTTCTGAGCCTCTGCCTGGCTCTTGTCCTTCTGCAGTTTATTGTCAAGTCCCTACCACACCAAGAGGTAAAGTCCAAGGCCACAGGCAGGAATGCCTGACTCCCCTCTGGCTATAATCTTCATTGGGCAGGCACCAGGCTTCAGCGGCACCTGTGTGCAGGAGAAAGACACTGGCCCCTCCAGTTCAGACAGGTGCCTTGGACCTGGTTCCCTGCCATTCACAGCTCCTGCTCACCACCAAAGGTCCCCAGCTACTTCCTTTCTTTAGGAAAAAGTCTCCATTTCTACATTATGAATATTTTCTTTCTTGCTTTTAAGTGTGGCTATATGTTTATTAATTTTTTTTCCTGTACTTTTTATGCCTTCAGAGCAGAATGGGAAGGTTTCAGCAAATTTTTAATTTGCCTTCTAGGCCTGAAAGTAGAGCCTCTGCTTTAAAGTATGGGTGTTTAGAGTGTGTAATCTGGATTCATAAGTGAGCCAAGGAACAAGAGTCAAAACTAGAGCCCAGGTAGGAACATCTTCTTTGCCTGGGGCGCAGATTTGGTCACAGCTATCCGTTACAATGGGAGGTGGGGGGGAAGTAATCTCATTTAAAAATCATTACAGTGTACCAGCTATCTCTATGTCCTTGGAGGAGTTAGTTAACCTCTTTGGTTCTCAGTTTCCCGATATTAATACAGCTGAGTCAGATAAGCTAATTTCTAATAATTTCTAAAGGTACTTTCACTTATTAATTTTATAGGTTCACATAATATAGGCCTAGATGAGATTTTATTACATTCCAAGAGTTAATTTCTGAGGCTAAAAGATATTTAGTATTTCAGAGATAGTATCAAATCATCTAAATCATCTAATAAAATTTATAAGGGAGCTTTGATAAATTAAGATATTTTGGCAAATTAAGATAATATTACATATGAATGTGCATTCAGTATTACACACTCAAAAAAAGCTTATGTGTAAAGAAATATGATTGGTCAATGAAAAGGAGGTGATTCACTAGAAGAGAGAAATGAGAGGACATAGGTTACGAGTAGTCAGCAAAGAACTGCAATATTAAGCTGAAATATTCAGCTTCACAAATAGAGCACAATAAAACTACTTACAATAAAAAGATAGTATCTCTATTTGACCAGAAGTATCAGAAAAATTATGAGTCTATGAAGTTACTGTACTAAGACACTTTCTATAGCAATACTGTAAACCACAACTGCCTGTACATGGGCCATTTCAAAAGCATGCATGATTATCAGCACTGTCATCTGCCAATAGTCAGGAGATTTACCAACTCACCCCAAGTAAGAGTAGCCAGGGTCAAGAGCTCAGGGATTGAGTCCTGGTATACTACATATTCTGGAGAGTATGGATCTGTTTGAACGTCAGCATCCCGATAATCAGTCTGAGTGCCCACGGTAGACTTTGAAGGGATGGATAGGTGCTTAGTAGAAGTAGGAAGAAAAGTATATGGTTCTGCCCTAAAAGGGAAAAATTAGTTTAAAAATTAAAACATGTTATGATCACTTAAAATATTACATAATTAAGTAGAAATAAATCTTGGAAGCTTCGTCAAGTCCATCCCTCCTTTAAATGTTGACAGGTAAAAAGTTATGAATCCATTATAACCAGGATTATGCCCCCAAATCTCGAGAGAATTGCCTTGTTATTCTCACCTCTGCCAAGAAACTGAGTGGGTTTAAGTACCATGGTTGGCTCACAGAAGTGCCTATTTATATGTGTGTCACTGGGCAAGGTTGTAGAATAGAGCTATTCTAAAATGCTGTGCAGTACTTCTGGACCTATTCAGAATTACTACATTCTCTGGTTTCTTTCTTCTCTGTTTTAGTTAGACACTCAATCTCTGTTTCCCTCCAGAAATACAGGATCAGAGAAAAGAGAAGAGATGCTTTCTGTGGAAAGAAAGAAAGAGAAAAATGAAGAACGGAAGGAATGAAGGCAGGCAAGCAAACAGGCAGACAGGCTCTATCTGAATAAATGATTCAATAATTAAAGGGGGGAGTCACCTTGTTATTAACATGTGGAAAAGTTACCTTGCCTCTTGCACAAAAATTAATTCCAGATCTTTAAAAAAATTAATGTAAAAATAAGACTATAAAAGTACTAACAGAAAACATAAGTCAATATTTATATCATCTTTGAGTGAAGGTCTTTTTAAGCCTGGCTGAAAAGCCAGAAACTATAAAAGGAGATGATTAATAGAATTGAGGGTTAAGTTTCAACTTCTATGCCTCAAAATATCACAAACAAATTTAAAAGGTGAATGGCAAACTAAGAAATAGGTTTTGCAACATATATGATATAATAAAAAGTTTAAATAGCCCTTCTATATAAAAAGCTCTTATAATTCAATTAGGCAATTAAATACCCCATGGAAAAATGAGTAAAGGAGAATTCACAAAACAAAAAGTAAAACTTTTTTTAATTTTTTCTTTTCTTTTTTTTTTTTTTAAATAGAGATGGGGTTTCACCACTTTGGTCAGGCTGGTCTTGAACTCCTGACCTCAGGTGATCCGCTCGCCTTGGCCTCCAAAGTGTTTGGATTACAGGCGTGAGCCACCACGCCTGGCCCAAAAAGTAAAACTTCTAACAAACGCATAAGAAGATAATGAAGATAACTAGTAATCAAAGAAAAGTAAATTAAAACAGCAAGATACTATTTGATGCTATTTTATCACATAAGCAAAGATTTAAAAGATTGAAAGTACCTAGCATTGATTATGTTGTGATGAAATAGGCATTCTCATAAACTGTTGATAGAAATATAAATAGGTACACCTAACTGACAAGTAATTTATCAATATATACCAAACCCTTAAGATACCCTTTGATCCAGCATTTTTATTCCTAGCAATTTACTCTAGAAAATAACTGGACAGGTGTACAAAGATATATATGCAAACATGTTCATAAAGTTTCACTTATAAGAGTGAAAAATGAGAAACTTAAATAATCACATCAATACAAGAATTGTTTTAAAAAATGGCACACCCATAATGGAACTTACGCAGCTATTCAAAGTAATAATGTAATCTATACTTGTGAGCATTCAAAAATGTCCATGATTCATTGTAAAGTAGAAAAAAATGACACTATTAAGTGGTATGTATAGGATTCCATTTTTACATTTTAAAACTGTATTTTGTGCATAGAAAAATGCCTATATATATAACAAAATAATAGTAATTATTTCTAGATAGAATTATACAGATAATTTTTTCATCTTTATACTTTTCTGAATCTTCTTTTTTAACATGTACATGCATTGCCTCTAGAATAAGAGTAAAACCAATATAGCCACTTTGACTTAAAAGACAACATTTTTTTTTCAAATTGGTAGAAGAATTGGTTAAATTATATAAATAACTAAAGATGAAGGCAAAAATGGAGAGATATTTCCATTTTGAAAAACAGAGGCAATGGTAAATGCATATATACAAGCACAGCAAATACATACACCAAAGATACTTAAAAAAAAGGGCCGGGTGTGGTGGCTTACACCTGTAATCCCAGCACTTTGGGAGGCTGAGGAGGGTAGACCACGAGGTCAGGAGTTTGAGACCAGCCTGGCCAACATGGTGAAACCCCATCTTTACTAAAGATACAACAAATTAGCCGGGTATAGAGGCACGCTACTGTAATACCAGCTACTCAGGAGGCTGAAGCAAGAGAATTGCCTGAACCCAGGAGGTAGAGGTTGCAGTGAGCTGAGATCACACGACTGCACTCCAGCCTAGGCTACAGGGCGAGACTCCATTTCAAACAAACAAACACCAACAACAAAAAAAACCATTTCAAGCAGTTAGAAAGAAACACTTATTTGGAAGTNCTAAAGATACAACAAATTAGCCGGGTATAGAGGCGGGCAACTGTAATCCCAGCTACTCGGGAGGCTGAGGTAAGAGAATTGTTTGAACCCAGGAGGTGGAAGTTGTAGTAAGATCGTGCCATTGCACTCCAGCCTAGGCTACAGGGCGAGACTCCATTTCAAACAAACAAACACCAACAACAAAAAAAACCATTTCAAGCAGTTAGAAAGAAACACTTATTTGGAAGTTCAACCTGTAATGGAGTAAGTACTTTAAATAGTTTAAAAAATATATTATTATACTTTAAGTTCTGGGGTACATGTGCAGAACGTGCAGGTTTGTTACACAGGTTTACATGTGCCATGGTGGTTTGCTGCATCCATCACCCCATCATCTACGTTAGGTATTTCTCCTAATGCTATCCCTCCCCTAGCTCCCCCACCCCCCAACAGGCCCCAGTGTGTTATATCCCCTCCCCGTGTCCATGTGTTCTCATTGTTCAACACCCACTTATGAGTGAGAAGATGTGGTGTTTGGTTTTCTGTTCTTGTGTCAGTTTGCTGAGAATGATGGTTTCTAGCTTCATCCATGTCCCTGCAAAGGACATGAACTCATCCTTTTTTATGGCCACATAATATTCCATGGTAGGAATTTTCTTTATCTAGTCTGTCATTGATGGGCACTTGAGTTAGTTCCAAGTCTTTCCTATTGTGAACAGTGCCACAATAAACATATGTGTGCATGTGTCTTTATAATAAGAATGGTTTATAATCCTTTGGGTATATACCCAGTAATGGAATTGCTCGGTCAAATGATATTTCTAGTTCTAGGTCCTCGAGGAATCGCCACACTGTCTTCTACAATGGTTGAAAGAATTTACGCTCCCACCAACAGTGTAAAAATGTTCCTAGTTCTCCACATCCTCTCCAGCATCTGTTGTCTCCTGATTTTTTAATGATCACCATTCTAACTGGTGTGAGATGGTATCTCAATGTGGTTTTGATTTGCATATTTCTCTAATGACCAGTGATGATCAGCTTTTTTCATGTTTTTTGGCCACATAAATGTCTTCTTTTGAGAAGTGTCTGTTCATATCCTTTGCTCACTTTTTAATGGGGTTGTTTTTTTCTTGTAAATTTGTTTAAGTTCTTTGTAGATTCTGGATATTTTTGTTTTGTTTTGTTTGAAATGGAGTCTCATTCTGTCACCCAGGCTAGAGTGCAGTGGCACGATCTCGGCTCACTGCAACCTCCGCCTCCCAGGCTTAAGTGATTGTCCTGCCTCAGCCTCCAAAGTAGCTGGATTATAGGTGCCCACTATTTTTGTATCTTTAGTAGAGACAGGGTGTCAACATGTTGGCCAGGCTGGTCTCAAACTCCCAACCTCAAGTGATCTGCCCGCCTTGGCCTTCCAAAGTGCCAGGATTACAGGCATGAGCCACCGCGCCCAGCCTTTAGTTTTTTATGCTGCACTGTAACTGCTTTTGAAATCACTTTCCAGTAGTTGCTATAAATTTCTAACATGTAGACAGTATATGGCTTCTTATGTTTTTGGTAGAAATTATTCTACTATAAAATTCTAGTTGAGGAAATAAATTCAAATCCATTTTATGTCATCCTAAGTTACATGAAATTTTATTATATTAGTGCACCATTATCCTGAATCAAGAGAATAAATTGTTTTTTTCTCAAATAATCACACATTTGAACCATCTGATCAAATGTGCTTTATGATAAGGCCTAATAAACTCTTCCGATGCAGGTTTCCAGCTTTGTATCTTTCCAGGTAGGTCAGAGAATAGAATGCAAAAGAGGAAAGCTACTTTGAACTCTTCCAGTAACTTAATACATGGTTTCTTAACTAATTTCTTAATTTTTCCAACCTATTTTTCCCCATTTCAGCTGGGTTTAGGGGAAAGTACAATATCAATAACAAAGAGCAATGAGCCCTTTCCCACCTCCTCCCCAACCTCAAACAGGGCCCAAACCCAGAAAGGCCCCACACCTGCTCCTTGTTGGCCTGACCCCTGCTGTGTCCTGGCTCCTGTCCTCAGGCTCACCTGTTCTGGCTTTGGTACTCTTAACGGCAGCAAGGGCTGCTTTATTTGTTCTATCCAGGCCCCTTCTCCTTGACCACTGCCCAGGCACCAGGCACATGCACTGTCTGCCATAACTACAGTCTTCTAGATTTTCTCTCCCAGCCTCAACAGAACTGTACAGAGAGGGGGCTTCACAAACCTAGCAAATCCTGTTCTACTATGAACTTTACCGAATGTTTTAAAAGTATCAACTTTTTATTCTCTTTGCAAAGATGCTTATGTAGAATCCAAAGGAAAGACTCCAGCAGCTAGCCATGAAAAGTGTGTAGCTAGAGAAGGCCAGCCAGTTCCAAGACAATTCTAACCCCGATAACACAAGGTGGCATTATACTCACTTCTCATAAACTCAAACATACTGGAATTCCAGAGTTGATCTCACTCAGGAATAATGATGCATTCTTTAAAAAGTTATAAGAGAGATAGAGAGTAGCTACAATATCAAATGTCATGGTTTAACTTTGGATGGAATCTTTATTCCTTCTGTCACGGTTATTAAGGGAGGAGTGGGGGAAGTCACGGTTTTCATCACTGTAGGCCTCTGAACTCCCTATAATTAGTTCAACCACTTTTAGGCTGAGGCAATTATGACCTCCAAAGCAGGTGACCCAGTGAGCCTGATTTTAAATAATTACCAGATGGATCTTTAGGGATCTACATAGCTCATAGCTCCCCTTTTGCTCATACAAAACATTTCATAGAATATAAGTCTATAGCTGTTTCTGGATAAACTGGTACCCTATGAAGTTGGGGAGAGCAGGGAATCTGTTCTCCACCTCTATAAAGAGCCAAAGGCATCCACACAAGTCTTAAAAAGTCAAGGTGAAGTAGGATCACAACTAGCATTTATGTTGAGGATTACAGACATTTAATAACACATGTCCTATTGATAAATTATATATATTATTAGAGATAACTATAGTCTTTAAATGCATGCTTGAAAACCCAGCCCTGAATAAATTTGTATTCAGAAATATGAGACCTTAAAAAAGGTTTCTATTCCTGATAATTTCATGAATACCATGGACTTCTTTCTCTTATAGAAATATTAACAGGGGAAAGAGTGTAGCAAAAATTAAATTTTTAAAAGAATACTCTACCCAATCTGTCATCTTATCCTAAAACTAGAGACTGGAGAAATACACATTTGACTCAGATTCAGCCCTTGTCCCTTTCCTCTCTCTTACCTTGGTTCACTCCACTGTGGGGCAGAAACCACGTTTCATTTATCTCTGTATACCACATTGTCTGTGTATATTAGATTATTGCATGTGGTTATTGTTATAAAATTGTAGCATTCAAAAAATATTATATGACTGATTTGCTTATTTGATAAAATGTTGAAGAATTGTCATCAAATAAGTGTTTCAGAGAAGCAAAATAAGATATTTAAAGCACTTTTCAACTTTTTTTTTTTTTTTGAGACGAAGTCTTTATGTTGCCCAAGTTGGAGTGCAGTGGCGTGATCTCAGCTGACTGCAACCTCTGCTTCCCAGGTTCAAGTGATTATCCTGCCTAAGCCTCCTGAATTGCAGAGATTACAGGCACATGCCACCACATTCAGCTAATTTTTGTATTTTTAGTAGAGACAGGGTTTCACCATGTTGGTTAGGCTGGTCTTGAACAACTGACCCCATGTTCTACCCACTTTGGCCTTTTTCAGCTTTTTTCTTTTTTTTTTTTAAACACACAACTGCTACAGTTTGAATGTGTGTCTGTGTGTTCTCCAAAATTCATGTTTAAACTAATCTCCATTGCAGTAGTATTAAGAGATGAGGCCTTTGGGGGAAGTAATTAAGTCATGAGGTCTTCACCCTCGTCAATAGATTCGTGCCTTATAAAAGGACTGGAGAGAACTAGCATATGTCCTTTTTGCCCTTCCACATTCCACCATGTGAGGACATAGTATTGCTTTTTCTGCCATGTGAGGACACAGCAAGAAGCCCCTAATAAGACACTGGCTGCTGGCACTTTGCTCTTGGACTGCCCAGCCTTCAGAACTTCAAGAAATAAATTTATTTTATTTATATCACCCAATCTGATATTTTGTTATAGAAGCACAATGGACAACACTAAGAAATACATTTTATGTCATAATCCATCATATACATATAAACATACACATACATTTTTCTGAAACAAAAGTTATAAACAAAAACCAACTTATCCTCCATATACCTGATGCTCTGGTTATTTTCTATTCTGTTTCATGTTTTATAATGCTTCTCATGACCCACTAGAAGATTTCATACCTTCCAACGGTTTGTGATCCACAATATGAAAAATAGTGAGAGATCTACCTTCTCAGAGCAAATATGGAAGCAAACAATAAATAAACTGAAAAAGAGTTTTTAAATAATGGTTACTTACTTGGATACAGCATAAACAACATTGAATGGCATCTGCTGAAAAAATGGAAGAAAAGGCCTGGGAGGAAAAGGAAAACATAAATGTGTGGGACTTTTGCAATGAATACACTCTAAGCTTTCTTCCAACTCTCATATTTGTCCCTTAAAAATCAATGAGCTTAAATATTCCATATATTAGTTTTACTAAAACTTTTGAATATACAAAATCACCGGGGGATGGGGAGGTTCATATCTAAAATGCAAATTCCCAAGTATGGCCCACGAGATTCAGTACATACAGGGTAGGGCCAATGAAGGTGCCTTCTTAATAAACACTCCAGTACTTTCTCTTCAGACAGTAAACAAGCCACACTTGAAGAGGCCACACTTTAATCCCTGTACTTGGGCTTCAGCTGGCCATTAGTTCCCAGCAACTTCTCAAGTTCTTGAGACATTCTGAAATTCACGATGATTTAATCTAAAGCTTCCTCCTAAGAGCTAAGAATTGTATACTTAACTGTATACTACAGTTAAGGATTTAACATTTCTCTGAAAAAAGTCAGCGTCACAAAATTTCCATAAGGAGGCTCATAAATAATAATGTGGATTAGAAATTTACTCTCTCAAGGAAGCTTATGCAGATGTGGTATCAAGACTATTTTTTCTAACTCCAGTAAGATGTACAGTACAAGGAAATCCCCATCTTATTTTAATTTGAGTATATGATTATCACATGAGTATAAATCACAAATGAAATAAAATGACTTTTTTGGCCATGTTGGTTTGGGCAAGATTCGCACAAAAAGAACAAATGTTATCCATTTGGACACAACAGTTTCCCCTTCACTGTGACTTCATGATATTTCTACTGTGTCTCATTCATTTGATGACTTCATTTCAAATGTTTTCAAATACATAATTTTTTTTTTTTTTTTTTTTTTAAAGACGGGGTTTCACCATGTTGGTCAGGCTGGTCTTGAACGCCCGACCTCAGGTGATCCGCCCGCCTTGGCCTCCAAAGTGCTTGGATTACAGGCGTAAGCCACCACGCCCGGCCAAATACATAATCTTAATTGCAATCACTATCTCTAAAGTCAGGCAGGCTTAGTTTGAACCCCAGATCTACCTCTTGCTAGCTTTTACGACCTTGAGCAATTTATTTACCCTCTCTCGGTCTCAGTTCCATTACTGGTAAAACAGGGATCATATATATCTTACCCTACATTTCTGTTGTAAAGATTAGATGAGATGCGTGTAAAGCATTTAAAACAAAGTCTGGCACATTGCATGCACTGAAAAATGATAGCTGGTATTATTATCACAAAGAGTTTCTCTAATAATATTAGGGTTCGAATGTTCATTAGTAATTATATTCTACCTTTCAAAGTATTTATAGCGATTCTTTCCAGTAACTTCAGGGTCTTCATAAACTTCTCTAGGCATCTGAAAAGAAGTGTCAGTTCTAAAATGAAGCAAGAAAACATTATTCAAGTCTAAAATATTTCCACATACAATTTCAATTTAAAATTTCTGTGTGTATAGAGTAGGAGCTACACAGAGTGTCCCATACTGAGAGTGAAGTCTTCCATAACCTGCATTTGACTGTCATACAACTCAGAGTATATATGATTTTTCCCCTGCCCTGAGCCAGCAGACCAGGAACTAGTCAGAGGGAGCAAGAGTTGAGAAAAGAGTAGATTTATGAAATCCCACATGCCAAAATGCCCAATTTTAATTAAAAGCACATGAGAATAACAAAATATTAAAAGACAATTTTTCTATATCCAGGCTAAAAGGCTTTATTATTTTTAATTTACTAAATGTAAACTTGTAAGTAATTAAAAGAATAAAGAATTCGACTTATCCTTGATGGTGCTTTGGCTGCAAGTCTCCAAAAAATATTTTAGATATTGGCAGAAAAGAGCACTTTCAGTTGCTTAGTTAGATACCAAGCAACAACAAACTCAGTCATCCCTACCTTTGGTGGCAAGTTGTCATTTAAAAAAAAATATATATATATATATATATTATATGTATATATATTATAGATATATATTATATATACATATATATGCACATATATATTATATATATACAATATACATATTATATATAAATCAGGCTTGTTTCAGCCAAAAGAGGTTTAGAAAAAAATTTTGGCCTAGGTGTAGCATCACAACTGAACTCTTTTAAATCACACATGGTAAATGAATAAAAATAAATGTTTTAAATGCATTTACTTTAAGGCCCTGGAGCCACCCAACACTTGCCTGGTAAGCTGCCGGAGGGCTTCTCTGTGTCTCTCCTCATGTCGCTTCCATTCCCGACTGATAAATGGTGGGACAGGATCTGATTTGCTCCAATATAGAGAATATCTTGGATAATGGATCAGGTTACTGAACATGGTTTTAAACCTGGGAACTTTTTTCTAATGTTATGGAAGGGAGGCAAAGGACAAAATTACACCATTAGCTTTTCTAAAGCATTTTAATTACAATGCAAACCCTTTTTAAAAGATACAAAACAATGGGTATAGCATAAGAAGAGGGGTTATTGCTATATGCACAGAGTATCTGTAAATAAATGCCCAAGAAACAGATGACAATGGCTGTTTATGTGGAGGGGGTGGGGGTAGGGCTAGATTTACTTCATACTGTATATGCTTTTGTACTAGTTGAATTCTTTTAACATGGGCATATATTATTATATTTATCCCATTGAAATAAATTAGTTTATGGGTTCTCTATTCATTATTAGTGACTTCATCCTCATAATGAGCCACAAGTATTAAGATGCTTTGCCCCCTAGTGATCTTGGCAAAGTAATTTCTGCAGAACCTAAAATCCAGTAAAGATCTGGTGATTAGTCAATCTGATCAAAGCAGTTAAGCAAACTAGATGGTTCAGGTTCATTACGTAGCCTGGGTTGATGAATTAGACATACCAGTCTGCTGCGAATCAGGGTGGCTTGGATATTTGCCTGTGTATGGTCCTTCTCACTTGACACAATAAACAATGGATCTGGAAAATAAACAATCAAGTAGCATAACAAATAGAACACATCTACCCATAGGCTGAGAAAAATGGCAAACTAATGTAATCTCTTAATTGGAAAACAAATATAAAAGTTCACATATTGCCTGACACTGCAGCAGCTCACGCTCTGTTGTGCATGTGACCCTGTTGCTCTACCACTTCTACATGTGGCAGTTGTCAAGATTTTTCTTTTCTGAGTATTCTAAGTCAGCTTATGGAAGTGGGATGCAAAAAGAAAGCCTAGCATGTTTTCAAGTACTATACCCTAAACACACATTCTTCTCTCCTATGAACAAAACTTCTTCTGAGCCTGGGTAGCCCAAAAAATTCTTCAAGAGGAAAGACCTTGGCCAGGCACGGTGGCTCACGCCTGTAATCCCAGCACTTTGGGAGGCCGAGGCGGGTGGATCACGAGGTCAAGAGATCGAGACCATCCTGGTCAACATGGTGAAACC